GCAGCGCTATTTGGTAGACTCGGCAGACCTCGGTATATTAAGGTGTGTTGCAACAGAATAAACCCGTCATTAAAGAATGCCACCATGAAAAGACGGGCGTAAACCATCAAAGGTCATTATACCGTGAGATTCCAGTTTCAGTTTCAAGAAAGTCGGCCCCATAAAGCAGAACGTCTACAGGGTAACGTTTGCACTTCTAACTTAGAATGTCTTACCGTCCCGACTATTAACAACGGACATTGCTCCCTCCGAACAACAGGCGTCTCAATAAATGACTTATTGTTTGCTTGAAGAGAAATATGCATTATGAGTTTAGTAGTGCGGCCAATTTTCTTCTAAACATATTAAAAGGACGATCGAGGGATTTCACATTCATTGGTAAGGCACTCTAATATCTGGCAAGACGAACAGTGAAAGATAGTATGAAAGGATCCTTATTCGACTTAGAGAACTGAAGTCGTTCAATTGAAAGATTTGAGAATGAATGATTTTCCAGGGGTAGAAGGCATGAGCGAAAAACGTGTTACAAGATTAACAATACTTTGAAGCCTACCTTATAATCGCAACTTTATCATTATTATTGTCGTTATTGTTATTGTTGTTCCTTTCGAAGCAGGTCAAGCTTATTGTTTAAGGATGGCTTCGTAATTTTGATACTCAAATGATATGAATAAATTCAGTTCATTGTTGTAATATAATAATATTCTTTTGTCCGTCATAACAAGTCATAAAAGTGTTCAAATCTCGAAAGGATGAAAATGAACGCTTTTACACATAAGCAAAGAACTTTATTGTTATTTAATATTTTATCACCTTGTCCAAGTTTATAACATTCTTCTTCTTCATCTAATGCTTATAAGATTCTCTTTAACTCTTATCGATTATTGTTATTGTTATAAATTCTTGTATATATCAAAATTTTTTCGTTCCTTCTCATCTAGTCGTAACGCATTGAATTGCTTTCAATCTAGTTGTTCTTGCTCTACATATCTAAATACATATATATGTAAGTGTAGGGATGCGTAAGAAATGAGATTTAATTCCATTTTCATTTCGAATAAAAGATCGACTGGTTGTGCATGCATATGTATTGCACAACGTGAATTGACATTTACAAACGCATCTCTGTACATAAAAGAAGAAAGGAAAAGAAGAAATTGCAAAAAAAAAAAAAAAAAAAATGAATTTGAATTGAAATGTTGTATATCCCTTATGTTATGTAAATCAATAACATGTTTTTTCATGTCAGTTAACACATTACGAAAATAAGGAAAATTAAAAATTGCAAAATTATAAATTGCAAAAAAGATCTTTCAATAATCAAAAATTATTTTGCTAACGGATTGAGATGAAAAAATGTTAATGTAAAAAAGAAAAAATATTAGTGTAAAAAAAAACCAGACAATTTAAATCATTTACAAAATGATTTATGTCAAATATTTACTTTAACTTTGGCATTAAGAAAATAAACAAGACAAGTTCCTCTACGCTTGTAACCGTCCAGCAGGCTTTTGAACAAAATCGACAATAATTATTTTGATTATTTTCCACTGAGGAATAAATAGTTCATTAAATGCAGTTGATGATGACTAAGTCATAATTTTCATGCATCAGACACGGCTCAGAAAAAATTCTAAATAGAGTGCAAAAGTGTTTTTTTTTCCGAGTTCAAGTCTTTTGATCTCCACCGGGTGAGACGCGTAGAACATAGTTTTTATCCTCTATACCCTTTGTGGAAAGGTTAAGTGTGTTCAGATGTACTTGACACCCAAGAGCACTTAAGTTAGGTCAATCTTCTGTCACAACTAACCTTGTCTGTCCGTCTACCTGCCCATGTGATTGTTTTCAATATACAGGCCGTAGTTTTTTAAATATGTTGATAAAGCTTTGTACACTGGGATGCTTTCGCTTACAAACGAATCTACTAATAATGCATAAGATAAGGCCACCTCTCCGACCACCCCACATATATGGCCTTAGTTTGAAAAGTCATTGTAAAAAAAAAAGAAAAATTCCAATTTTCAAAATTGCACGAAAACGTTGAGAATTTGTGTAGATGGGGAAATTTTTTCACTTTTCATTTTTATATGTTAAAAATTGGCCCATAACAATAGTTTGACGAAGAAATTAATCTTACCCAATTTATGAACCATGTACGTCTATCTTCTCGATCGTGTCCCTCATAAGGATTGCCATGAGTGATGAGCCTTTATATGCCTTTACAATAAAAAAACTTTTTATAAGCCTAATTTGCTACAAGAAATAAACGGACCAAATTTGAACCAGGTGGATCCATTTTTTAAACCCCCTTCTAAGTCTTTACATAGCGATAAATAATAATTTCCAGCTATTAATGGCAAACATATGTGGAGAATAATAAAATTTTTGAAAGGAAAGTTAATTTGGTCCACTGCCATTTTATGCACACTCCAATGTGAAGATTTTCATAGAAAGGGTAGAATACATCTTTACATGAAAGCAAAGTATAATTTCACCGAGAGATGGGAGGTATATTCCCTATGTCAATACGTTTTCGCAGTACCCGCAAGAAAGCTTCAGAAATCCCACAAAATATATAAATTCTTAATCAGCATCAAATTCAGAATCAATTTAAGCATGTCCGTACGTCCATCTGTGCAATGTCTGCCCCTCCTGGCCGCAAAAATTAAGTTATCGACTTGAAATTTAGCAAACACATTGTAAGTTCTTCCAGGCTGCTACCGGAAATTAGTCAAATTGATCGAAGAGCGCGCCTACAATCCTGTGTAAACAGAGGACACCTCTGTTTTTCAAAAGTAATAGAAAATTGATTTTTTTCTCATTACTTATAAACTGTTGCAGATAATTGTACAACAATTTCAAGGCTTATTCTATGAGCGATGGAAAAAGTCAGCTATGCTTACTTAACTTCACTTTTTTCACTTTTCTTGTCTGAATAACCCTGTAAAGTATAAAATTCTTGGCCAATTTCAAATTGCGAATGCACCTTCCATTCATGTGTGCATCTGTCCGCCCCAGCAAGGGTGTAGTATATGTAATAAATATTCTCTTATTCTCAATAATGAAGATATCGCCTACAAACTTGCAAGAGAATTTTAAAAGGAGCCAGACATTGCAAAAAGCGCGCCTACAACACGTTCACAAGCGCATATAACAAAAAGTGTCAACTCTTTTACTTTGCTTGTTTTTTGCTTCTTACTCGTAAAGTACAACGCATACGCTACATAAATCTCCGCGACGGAATATAATTTTCTTACTTGTTTTTCTTTTTTGAATATGAGCACACACGCCTGGGTTGCCCTCTAGATGTATATGAACACCATGTTGATCTGTGAGAAAGAATAAGGGATAAGAGCGATAGGAAGTAGTTATACTTTAAGAGGTCTATGTCCGATCGCGATGTGCCGTGTCGCTACCAATCGAGCATTCAATGTATATGAGAATTGCAACCACTCATCAATTGTAGTTCACGTGGGATGTACCGTACTGGACAAGCTCTTACCTAACTCTCTCGAACTTGATTCTCTTTTTATAATCTTTTCATATGTCTTTAAATCAAATTCCCATAAATTGAAAATTATGTTGTCAAGAACAAAGCATGATGAAAAATGAGTTTAAGTTTAACGCTCCTTGACGGATGGAAAACAACGTTGAAGTTAATTTTTTTTTAACTGCTTAGAACCTGTGTATTAATAGTGCGGCTTAGTAACTTCCAGCAGAAAATTAATTAAGCTCAAGTTTTCTTTCTGGGGTTTTCTCGCGTCCAGCATCTAATTGTCATTATTATTATTTTATTAATACTTTTATTATTATTATTTTCTTTCACTTATGCTGGCTCTGCAAGTTTATCAATTGTTCACTAATTACATTTTAATAAGAATAGTAAGTAAACTTCATAATTCGGAACACGTAGGCACAATTTTGTTATAATTATTACAAAGAAAAGCAAAGTAAGCAGCAACAGCTGACAACAACAGAAAAGTGAACTTTTTTACGTTATTTTTACCAAATCTCCCTTTCGCTCTCTGTCTCCTTTTTCCTTCCTTTTCTTGATATATATACACATTCAATAAAAACAAAAGTCATGACAAACCACAATCAAAGACATTCTATCATACATAAGCACACACACACACACACACACACACACACATACATACATACACATACACATAACCATATCTACTTATCGCATCGAGTACGTCGACAGGCGTATTGATGAAAAGTTTTGGCACAAGCCTTAAGGAGACCGAGAAAAAAAAAAAACAAAAACAAAAGGAAAAGTTTTTCAGTTTCCCTAACCTACTCAGGCGCACAATGTGTTCATTTCCATGTGTTGGTGGCAGAAGCAAAAACATAAAGCTGTGTCTAGTCATGTTCGAACATAAATCAATTAACTCAATTTCCGCCTGCTACCAGTTAAAATGTCCGGTATTGATTAGAGGGCAAGATAAGTTTGAGTAAAGCGAAACGCAATGTTGGGGATTAAAAGTACTTACTGTTGGTATGGTTGAATGTGTGTTTGTGTGTATGTTTGTGTGTTTGTGTGTGTGTGTGTGTGTGTGTGTGTGTGTGTGTGTGTGTGTGTCGTAAAATATGAAAGGGTATAAAGGAGTAGTTTCGAGTTTGATTATTGAGGGTTTGAAATGTTCGAACACACACATGCAATAACCAACGGAAACAAAAAACAAAAATCAAAAGAAAAAGCAAATAAAAGAAGAAAAAAAAAATCTCTGGCAAAAAATATGAGAGGTCAGCGAAAGTTCATAAAACTTGGCAATAATTCAATGTAAGCCTAACATTTACTTGAAATTGGAACGTCAACCTATATGTACTATGGTAAATGCGTAAGTGTGTACTTGTGCGTGTGTGTGTAACGACTAACAGCATTTTTGAATATGTGTTTGCGCGATTTACACACAAGCTTAATCAATGTGATTTATGTGCATATTGTATGTGTTTACACTTAGTCATGGTTTGGTTGAATATGTCTTTAACAGATTGGTTTATTGCGTGGGGGTCGCATGCTCGCTGAAGAATCGCCTCAATTGCTACGCCAGCAATACAGTGCCGAATCGTTAGAGGAAGTTTTCCTTAAACTCGCAGTACTACAGAACATGGGCAAGCGTCGCAGATCATCTATAGCCAAAGAAGTTATCGATAACGTAACAGTACCGGCTATTTCAAATCCTGCCTTAGATTTGTCCGATGAACAAGACAATGCCGAGATATCGGGCGAATTTGGTGACAACATATCAATGACTTCAGCTATCCCCGATCCTATACCGACAGCCGCAGTTTCAGCTTTACCTGTCCCGCCCGAAGAAGACGTGTCGGTATCGTTTTGTAATAATCAATTTATGTCCTCGCATCATTTGCACGCCATAATATGGAAAAACTTTCTTTGGATGTTGCGTAATAAGGGGTAAGATACACTTACCTATTATTAATTATTACAGATATATTTTTTGTCTTTTTTTTTTAGATCGATGCTGTTTGTTGTCGGTTTACCGATACTACAAACATTTCTGTTTTGCTATGCGATTGGCCACGACCCGACCGGCCTAAAATTGGCTGTTGCCAATTATGAAATGAATGAGGAGATGATTAGTAAACAATATTGTCCTAGCATTGCCGGCTGCAATCAAACTCAATTAAGTTGTCGTTATCTAGATATGCTGGTCAGAAACAGAAGTATGGTGATGGTAAGTAATCAAATAAATCAAGGCTAAACATGAACACGCAAAGTGTTAAGCGCTGCTATGTTGTAATGTTGGTCTACATCTAGTAAGTTTAGACAATTGCGTGTTAGGACAAACCTATGATGTCTACCATGGTAAGCGGGTGGGTTGGAATGTTGATAGGTTGGGTTTCTTTTTCTTTTTAATATGATCCATCACTCAGGACATATGCAACCGGTTGGCGGTCAGCCAGAAGTGAAGAGCGAAGATAAGCTATGGAGTGGCCTCCACCTAGCAAATGTATGTCCAGTCTACTTGTAAGCCATTTTTAATATAGGTTCCATTCAGTGCTTTCAAACCGCACTTGAGCTTGAAACCCCAAACACTGACTTGCGACTCTTATATACCCGACTACGTGTTAGTCCAACGCCTTTTAGAAGGAGCTTTCATTCTTTTCTTAAGATTCAAACAGTTCGCCTTAATATTTCTCTCGAGTTTGAGTTATAGTTTAAATCCTGGTACATACAAAACCCATTTTAAAATTGCATCGATCACCATTAAAAAAACGGATTGACTTGGCCGTAGTAAGAAGCGCTGATCTAAATAACGCTTTGGAAGAACGGCTTTGTTCGCTTCATTTGTATTTTTGTTGAAGAGATCGCAAATAAACGCCCGTTTTGGTAGAGTATGGGGACGAATGGGACGATTTATTAAGTCCGTGGCGATTTTGGTTTGGAATAAAGATGGGACCGCGTCCATGGACATGTGGAGGGCGCAATTAAAATTAAGTAACAAACAACGAAAATTAAAGATTATTTTCATGTCACAAAAGAAAAAACAAAACCGAGAAAACAAAACTGTTCAGCCCATGCATATGATTTTATCATCCACACCGCGTACATGTTGAGTTACGGCCTTGAAAAAAGCAATTCTGTGACCCTTACCCTTGCAATGCCTAATAGAGTATTGTACGAAATCGCTTCAATATCTTATGCATTTTGAATAAGTATTTCTGCATTCTACAAACTTAAGACCCAAACTAGTATATCGCCTTTCATCAGTGGTGAATGTGAAAACAATAATCCTTAGATTTATGGGATTTCATGGCTATTTAATGCAGTTGTACTAGAAGCCTTTTTGTAGGACTTTAGTACAGTTTACATTGGAATAACTTAAGCTTAAATCTTCGACAATTACGGTAACAACAATAGTAACAGTAACACTTGGGGAAGAATGAGAACAAAAATCACCTTAAAATACAAAAACAATAACAAAAATAGCAGCAACAATAACAACAACAACATATTAAATGCAAAAGATAGAAACGGCAATGGATGAATGGATTTACCGAGAATTTGTTCAGGAATCACTGAGACATAAGCAATTGAAAGACATTGCAAGCGAAGTGAATCAGGAAATGCGTTACACGGAATTATAATGGAAATCCTTAATGGTAAATTCTGTCACTGAAACGTGTAACTGACTATAAACGAGACATTAATATACATTAATTAAACTGAAAATGACTTGACTTTGAAGTGTCCAATGAAAGGCAATAAAACTTAAAGGAACAAACTTTAATAGCAACGCAGTTAACACAAAACATTAATAGAGAAATTATTACGAGATAGTGAAAAGAATATTAAAAAGGGCTGAGATAAGTAAACGAAAAGCGAAACAAAAAAAACAAAAAAAAAAAAAAATTAATTAAAAAGCATTTAATTAAGTTGTAAATTAAACTTTTTTTTAAGAATCACTAACGATAAGCATAGTATAAAAGCAAAAGAGACTTTTGATAAACACGACTGCAAACATGGCGCAACATAATAACATGACAAAGAGTGTATTTTAATGTAATTGAAATGACTTAGAGGGAGAAATATCTTAAAGTGAACACCTGTCAGAAAATTAATGTACATTGTTAGGACCTTTCGGCCCATTCTCTGGAGCTAGGGCAGCTCAGCGGCCCAGGAAAACACAAGAAAAATTTATATTTACAGGGAACTTTATTATTCATTATTAAATTTGATGATTATTCGAAGACTAACTCTCAACGACTCTAAAGACCGTCAAACTAAAACTCACTCTCAAAGACCGTCAAAGTGAGACTAACTCTCAAAGGCTCTGAACCCTGACCAATTCTAAATTATTCTAACTTATTCTGCTCTACCCCAGTCTTAACCTGTTCTTATTCTATATCCTAACCTTATTCTTATTATATTCTTAATCTATTCCTATCCTATTCTTATTGTATTCTTGCTCTATTTCTATACTAACTTACTCTCTAACTTAAACTAGCACTCTTTCTCCCCCACCAGAAACGGAGAAACCGTGAGGCCAAAACGTTGGACGACTTTGGGTCCTCACAATATATTTAGCCCATACCTTGTGCTAGACTAATCTCAGCAACTCCAGGCTTTGTTTTACAAGAATTTTTTTCTTTTCATGTTTTTATATTTTAATGATTTTAAGAGGGTTTTACGACTAAAGGAAAATCATTTTTTCTTTTTTAAATCCAAGATACAAACTATTAATTGCAAGAGTGACGTGATCGAAATGCACTTCAAAATAAATGATCGTTTATTTTAAATAATGTTTGCTTATCTATTAATATTATGTTATTTCTCTTAAGCGCTAGATCTTGCATTTAAAATTTAAACAAACATGACTTGTAACAACTCCTAGTTTGGTCCATTCATTGCACCAAACATGTCTCGGGATAGCCATTCAAGCGGCTTCAAAGTAAAGTTCATATTCAGTTTTCAATTTCACTTACAATTTGTGTCCATACTATTATTCGCTTTGCTAGGTTAAAGCGTACTCCCGAGAAATTGAAAATTCTTCGAACCGCTCTACTCAGCACCGTAAACTTAACTCAAACTAAATCGTAGCCTAAAACGTAACTAATTATTCTCTCTTAACTAATTCTGTTATTTTCGGCTCTCCCCTCATCCTGACTCCCCTAATCGACCGGACCAGTTTATACCACGATGCGGACTATTTGAAACCAGCTCCTTTACGGTTCCCGTCAAAGTTGCCTTTTGGCAACGTTACTGCATTCCAATCAGAAATATCTGATTCTGACTAGAACTCCCCTATCTCCCGTAGTGCGTCTCTTGCTTCACCTAATCCTAATTCTTAACCTATCTTAATCTAGCACTCCCCTTTCGAGACGGGGAACCTGTGAGGCCAAAACGAGGAACGACTTCGTCTTTTTTTTTTTCTTCTATTATTATTTCTTTTTGCCGAATCTATATATGTTTTTTCCAACAAAATCTTCGAAAAACATTTTTCAATTTCTGTCCAATAATTGATATCGGCGTCCCACAACGAAGGTTTTTTTTCATCTTTTTTTTCTTTTACAAAAACATGATAAAAAAATCTTGCATTAAATATGGGAAAAAGAGATTACCTCCAGATGCAGGTGTTGTAGAAAATTTATTTATAATATTAGATGTTTGCAGGTGCAATGATAAAGCACTGCGAACTATTAACGCACACATCAATTAAATTCGATTATCTTGATCTTTCTCTATATTAAATAACATTTTTTCACTTAGTATTATTAAGTTATTCAGTATGTATAGATAGCAGTCATGTAACGCTCAAAATGGAATTTCCACAATCATTAGCGTTGTTGTTGCATTTGACGAAATATGTTACCGAAACCCGTCAAAGAAGCCTATTGTAATGCTGTTCCATCAATCGTCGATTTTGGTTTCCATGTTAATGTTAATGCCGAATGTCAGCTATATGATGCAACTTCACGTTTTTCTTATCGAGAATAATTTGCAGGATTTTTTTTATGTTTTCATTTCTTTAAGAAAAATATTCAAACCGAAGTTGAAATCGAAATAAAAAGAAATAAATAGAATTTAAAAGCATTGATTTTTACAAAATATAAATAAATTGTTTTTGTGCTGTAAGCAACACTTGCTTGATAGCTCAAAGTCAGACGATTTCCTTTTTAAGCAAATGTTTGTCGCCATAGATTACCTAAAGTCTCACGATGTAACAAACGAAAAGTTAACGCCGCACACATTGAACTACAACTTAAATTTGTTATTGCTGGTTAGGAGATCGTGTAGGTGTTGTTTTTAGAGGAGCAGAATAATTTCTGAAAGCTTTGCCTTAACAAAATCTTTGCGGAGCCCATTGAAAATTACCGGAGTAAGCGGAGCAAACTAATAATCTATTAAAAATTTGATTTTAAATTTCAGATATTCACTCATACAGATGTCGAAGCAACTGACTTGGTGCGGCAGGGTAAAGCTTGGGGTACTTTAACGATCGCTAATAATTTTACTGAATCTCTAACTAACCGCATAGAGAGCGGACGTTACGTTGATGATGGGACTTTAGATGCTTCCGAGTTGAAGTTGCGACTGGATATGTCAGGTAATAAGTGAAAACTTTATACCCTACATAAGCAGGGCGCGCTAATTAAAAAGTCATTATTTTTACCTAATTTTAGATCAACAAATCGCCACCCTGCTCTTCCGTGATTTAGTCGACACCTACTATAGCTTTGTAGATCATCAGCTTAGTGATTGTGACATTAATCCGGGAATCGCTCGTATACCGGTTATATATCAAGAACCCATCTATGGAGCTATAATACCGAGCTTTAACGATTTTGTCGCTCCTGGCGTTATACTAACTATCATATTCTTTTTATCGGTTGCCATTACAACGGGAGCAATGTTGCTCGAACGCAACGAGGGAATGTTAGAACGAAGTTTAGTGGCGGGTATAACCGGGCCTGAAATTTTATTTTCATTACTTGTCACTCAATTTACAGTTATGTTCAGTCAATGTGTTTTCGCTCTGCTGGTTGTGTTTTATTTCTTTAACACAACCCTAATGGGCAGCATTTGGTCAGTTTTAACTATGTGCATACTTAGTGGGCTTTGCGGCATGAGTTATGGTTTTGTAATATCCTGCGCCGTGGATACGGATCGTACAGCTACATATGTTGCAATGGGTTCATTTTTACCGAATGTAATGCTGTGCGGTATTATTTGGCCTGTGGAAGGCATGTATCCTTTGTTAAGAATTATTAGCAAAATAATGCCTTTAACTAAACCGGTTGAGTCGTTACGGTCGATCTTGCAGCGTGGCTGGGGCTTAAACGAACCGACAGTCTATTATGGTTTCATAACAATAACCACTTGGGCTGTCGTATTTATGTTTTTGTCGATTTTACTATTAAAATTCAAAAAGGGTTAAAGCAATTATCTCTGACGTCATTTTCTTCAATTTTATTTTGCTATTCTCATTCTTAGTTTCTATTAATGAATGAATATTTAAATCGTCATAAATTATATTTTAAGAGCAGCCAGTAGGGACAACAACAACAACAACAACAACAGCAACAAAAAGCAATTATATTACGAATAAAAAATATATTTGAGTTGTGTAGTGATAGAGTAAAGCGTAACGTAATGCAAACAATGCATAAAACGATTATTGACTTGATGTTGTCCTTGTTGCTTTTTTTTTTCGCTGCGTTTGCCAGTCTATTGTATTATGTTATTTTAGTTGTACTTAGACTTAAAGCTTTATATACATACTTGCATATATATATATATATATATATATCTGCATACAAATACATATATATGTATAGATGATGTTGTTATTCTTGTTGTCAAGTGGTTTAAAAACGCATAGTAAAAAGTTGCGATAGTTTATGAGATGCCCTATAACGACTATAACAACGTTCAAAGTCAGCTCATACGCTCACTGCATCTGCCTTTGCATCTGACTCTTTCGCTTTCACTCTTTCACAATCTTAATTTCCTTCTGTTTACTCTTCTTATCCTTCACGTTTTGTAGGTTTTAAGGTCAACGGTAGGGTATAAATCTTTTATGTTTAAGCATTTCTCTGTATATTGTGTTTCAATTACTTTCTACTTCATGTAAGTTCTTATGCATTATGTATTTTTAGTCTATACATGTGCGCATATATATATATATGTGTATATATGTACATGTATTTGTGCGAGCAAAGTACTTGGAATTTATAGTTTTATACTCACAAATTGTAATTTGTATTATTTTAATTTTATTTTCATTTCATGTTTCTTTCTTTGTGTACTTACTATATACCCGTTTAACATGGCTTAAGATAAATTTTTAAGGTTAAAATAAATGAAAAATTTTATAAAATAAAACAAAAAAGAAAGAAGAATTTTTTCTCCTAAAAAATATATGTGCATTTATGCGTTTTTGTGTATGTATTTGTATCTTGGGTTTTCTCTAAAAAACAAAAAAATTTGTTCTTTTCATTTTTATTGTGCTTTCTTTTTCATCTACTTTGCTTCATAAACAACGGATTCCAGCAAGTAGTCGGCTAAGTTACTTAAGTTAACGCAGTTAAAGTTAATGTTTTCAACAATTGACTTTCATTATTTAACAACGCAATTTATATGCTATGAACAAATATTTGATATGACTAAAGATTGACTGCTTACTTGCTTGGTTGACTTGTCTTTCAAGGCTTGCGGGTTTATTACATCCAGGCAAGGAAAGATGAATAGACATTTTAGACGCGCTATCTCTCTCTCTCTCTCTCTCTCTCTCTCTCTCTCTCTCTATCCCGCTCGCTACTTTTGACTCTAACCAGCCTCTAGATGCCGTCGCTTGACGGGTGTATCGTGTAACAGATGTTTAACATTGAATTAATTGAGCAATTAATTATTATACCACCAGCCAACCCAGCAAACCACTCAGTAAAGTTATTTGAAGAGAAGTTCAACATGATATATTTTCTTTTACTAAGCAAGTAATTAGTTAATGCTGCAACTAATGAATTCAACGCTCTTTAGGGAGAATGTAATAAAATTCTTAGCTTATAACAAAAGGCAGATCGTAGACGGGACTAAATTGTAAGGCTGCAGCCATAAGTGGCCAACTGAGTCCTTTATACATTCTGATCTTAATCAACTGTGGAACTAACAGGCTATTAGCTTTAACTTGAAAGCTAGTCAGTCCTCTTTCATTCATTATAGTTACATTAAAGACTTTGTTAAAAAATACAAATGTAAAGTTAGTAACGTTATGTCCGTTAAATTTAACTGATGTCAATTTAATTATCGATTTAAATTACATCCGTCTGAGTGTTTGAATAAATAATGAATCTCGACTAACAACTGAATGGTCGTGGGTTCAAATCTAAAGTGGGGTAGCGTTTCCAATAAAGCCTTAGGCGCTAAAGTCTTAAGAGTTTAGTCGTAGAATTTTTTTTCCTTGTCAGATTAATTGTAATAACAATAATAGTAATAATAAATAAATTAAAAATAATAATAAAAGAAATCTCATGCGATGGTCTTCTAGCATAATCCCTAGTAAATTCGCTGTAATAACTGTTGCTATATGTAACTTTAACTTAAACACTCTAGCTGGCAAAACAAACTAAGTTAAGTGGGTTTTGAAAACCTGCATTTAATTTCATGTCTAACATAATTAATAAAACACTTTAGGGCATGAATTGTATTTACTGAAGCAGTTTAATCAAATCGATACAACGCTAATTCCGGTTGATAAATCCTCTTTGAATGTTAGAGCTTGTAAGGATTAAAACTGGGTGCCGGAGTTTAATCAAATTGACATAGCGCTAGTTCCGGTTCATAAATACTTTTTGAATACTAGAGCTTGTAAGGACTTAAACTGGTTGTCGGGGTTTCCTCTCTGACGACCCAGAATTAATATTTCTTTCTTGAATAACGTTATCACTCTCGCGATTCAAACACGAACAGCCTTTTTAATGTTCATTTTCAATTTTTAAAAACGGAAACCAAAACTGCCACCGATCAGTGACACTCTGATTCAAATTCAAAATCGCAGGCTCGAATCACGATTCCCACTGTTAGGTTGTCCGGTTTGTCAGGTGGCACATTGCCTTAATTATCGGTAGTTCTACGCTAATCTTAGAATATCTTATGTTATCCTAATATGCATACAATACTTAACTACTATTAAATATACGTGTGGGGTAATATGGGGACGATTTTTTTTTTTCTTCAGATTTTATGTAGGTCAAGATGCTTTCACAAATTCTTTACCAATAATGTAATTGAAAAGACTTAGGAGTTTAGGTTAGGTGTCCACCTAAACATAATCCTCATAAGACGGACTTTGTGATATAATCGTGTAGACGCGGGAACAATTGTAAGAAAAGGAAAAACTAGTTGTAGCGTGAACTTACATCTCTTATTCTTTCGTATGTTGATATTTTTTCCATTAGCGCAAAAGGAAAGTGTTTATGCAGATCAAAAGATTTAATATACTTTTATGTGTGCGTAGATGTGTGTCTCCCAAAGATTGTGTTTTTTTTTTGTTTCCCTATATATATAAGTCTTTGTAAATTATTCGGATTAAAGCCTTGCTTAAAGTTCATTGGTCCGACGATCGATGGTGTACAGCTTTATATGAGTATTCTCTCCGGGCTTTGGTAAGGAGACATGTAAAGTCACCAAAATATGTTATGTCGTGTTTGCACCACGGCCACGCAGAACTCGCGACTAAAGGAACAAATCAAAATAAGTAAGTGGATCTTAAAACCTCATTAGAGAGTAAATCCACTCTGCTGGCCGAAGATTTAGTGACATCAATAATTGTCTTTTGATTCCCTTATAAATCCGTGGAAAGAGATATTAAGTCCTTAAACTTTCTCATATGCGCTATTTTTTACTAATGCTGACAAATTAATTATTAACAACACCATCAACATTCTTCGCAGTAGCCATTTTGTTCCATTTTGACTGGTTTAAGTCAAACTCTAACTTTCCTTAACAAACTAAGGAAGTCGACTGCCAAAAAACAGGATACAGTACAAAGAGAAGCTATCTTTCGCGTTATCGTCTTAGTACTTGCAGTAGATAAAGGGAGGCGATCCTTTCTTCGGTTTTTGATTTCTAACTTTGGAAATGTATGCATTTCGTCTTCTTAATCGTAACCATAAGTTCGTCACTTTCTGCGACTTCTCTTTTTTTCTTTCTCCTTCATATCTATTACAATTACTTCTGATTTGAGGGTCATAGAGAGTTGAACGCCGTTTAGGAAAGGCGAAAGATTTCAGATCAGTCTTCTTGTCGACATTGTAATGGGCAATATATATATTTTCGACATATCAATATAACGGTAGGATAATGAAAGACGATAATGAATATAAACCATTCAGTTTATATTCTAGTTGAGGCTGCAACAAAATATCTGAGTTAAAAATTCCCGGAACTTTGCAAAAGGAAAGGGTTTTCTTTTCGAAAACTTGAGTTTATTGTATACATATCCAAGCTGCAAGTAAACTCCTAAGCCAATGTAAACATGAAAAAGTTTGCATTTGATTCAAATCTTTTCCCGGAAGCAGCAGAATACAGTGAAAGCGGCAGTAATGCAAATTTCGTCGTATATGTATTTTCTGCCGCAAGTGCACTCAGTACCCGTTTGAAAGGCAGCTTTTTCACGCTCACATTTTCAGGAAAAACATTCGACTATCTTTAGATATCTTGAACTCGCCTGTTATCCTTTGCAGTTCCCCTTTTCAGTTATCAGAAATTATTGTAATGATATTGTTGTTGATTTTCTGTGGAACCATCCTGTGTGCATCATAGGAATACCTACGGACTCATTTAAATTCAACGAAGCATCGGTAAGTGTTTGCTTTCGAAGCAGAAGGATTTTCTTAACGCTTTCGATGCCAACGTAATGTTCTTTTTACCAAGATATTCGGAATTTGCAATATTTTGGAAATGGCTTTTACTAACATCAAGTGATCGAAATTACCTAAAATTTTTAAAGACCTCTGCCGAAGTTTGAACCATGTCAAGTTTTTCCTAAATATGATCTCTATTTTCTAATTCCGGAAATAATTATTTAATGCCTTGCAGTTGAAATGGTAACACTGTATATAGAAGCCATAGTTCCTTTGTATTGACGACAGGCATTTTGATCGTGGAATGGCAAATCTCTTATAAAATGACGATTTACTTTGTATGACAATGCAGTGAACAACATTTGATACAAAGTCATTATTTCACTTAGCTCTTCAAAGAAAGCGGATAAGCATAGTCTATGACATTCCCTTCACAGACCACGAAATATTAGATCTGACTTCTTTTCTCATTTAAAATTGCATTTGACAAAATGCGACGACATGAAAAACGCGGAACGTCGAAAGGTTGGAACGACATTTGAAAGTATAGGCTATCGATCAACAATCCGAATGATGTGATGGCTGCCAGCATTAGGTTGGGTCATAAAATTGTCTTTAACTTGCAAATTGACTTAACTTTTATTTAATTTAAAAAAATTTCGAAAAAC